GAGAGAGAGAGAGAGAGAGAGAGAGAGAGAGAGAGAGAGAGAGAGAGAGAGAGAGAGAGAGAGAGAGAGAGAGAGGGGAGAATATGTATGTACAGGAGACAAAAAAAAGAGAGAAAAAAGAGAGATACAAGAAAGACAAACAGACAGACAGAAAGACTGCTGTACATCGGTGCCCAGCGAGCGAGAGGGGCGGTCCCAGCTGCCGCCGGATCGCACCTGCGGCTTCCTCCACGTGTCTGCCCGCGGCGTCCGGAAGGGAAAATCGGCAAGAGGCGGCTTCAGTCCAACCTTTTTTTCTAGTTTTTTTTTAGTTTTTTTTTTCTCTCTCTCTTCTTTTCATTTTGTTTCGTCTTGTTATTGTTTCGTTCTTTTGTTATATTTGTTATTGTGTTTATTTTTCATTTGTTATTTATTTATTATTATTGGTGACTCTCAGCATTATTATTGTTGCTGTTGTAGTTGGTTTCGTTGAAATTGCTATTATTATCATTGCTGTTAGTGGTGTGATCATTATCATTGTTGTTGGTATAGTTATTGTTATTGTTGTTAATGTTATTTTCGTTATCACTGTTATTGTTGATGTTATGGTTACTGCTACATGTAGGAAAATATTCGTTTCACAAGAACTCTCTTCCGTTCTGATTTCTGTCTCGTTACGAAACCTTCAAATCTTGCAAATGCAATAAATTTTCTTCTCGGTGCACGATGATGGACTTGTCTTGTTGCACGGCCTGATGAGTGATTTTGCAACGCTGGTTTGTATGTTGTGCTTTGCCCCGCGTCTCTCTCTCTCTCTCTCTCTCTCTCTCTCTCTCTCTCTGAATTATGTTTCTCCACACACGAATCTACATCCACCGACCCACGCACGCACACACACACACACACACACACACACACACACACACACACACACACACACACACACACACACACACACACACACACACACACACACACACACACACTCACACACTCACACACTCACACACTCACACACACACACACACACACACACACACACACACACACACACACACACACACACACACACACACACACACACACATAGATGCACCTGTGCATGACATTTACAATTACAGACGTGCGTAACCATGTAGGCACATACACACAGACACATGAATACTTTCACACATGAATGCGTATACCTGTGTGTGCACATGGGTGAATGCGTATATTTGTGAGTGCACATGGGTGAATGCGTATACCTGTGTGTGCGTGTGTGTATGTGCACATGCGTGAGTGCGCGGAAATCGCTCGGACGTCCGCGAGTCAGTCAGTGTCGGCGAGTGGATTACGCTCTACTGTCGTGTTGAAATTCCCACTTGTCTCTCCTCGCCGTCGCCGTGAGAATCTGAAGATGCTTGGCTGGCTAAGTAGAGTAACCTCGTGTTTGCTTCCATTCTTGTGTCTTTCTCATCCTTTATCCGTATCTCTGTATTTCTTTTCTTTCATTTATTGTATCTCTCTCTTACTCGTAGCGTTCTGTTATTCCTTTTATTGTTGTTTCCTCATGTATTTTCCACTTATTTTCTGGTAATCCATTTTGTTCTTTCCTTCATCCGTCCAGTCTTTCCTTATATTCTTTATCTCTTCCCGTTATTCCTTTTTTAGTCGTTCTATCGTCGTTTTTTTATTAGCCATCTCTTTCTACCTTTCCCCCCTTTTTTTTTAGAGTTCTATCGTTCATTCTCTTCCTCCCCCGTTCAGTCCCTCCACGTTCCTCCACTCCATCACCTCCTCTCGCTCCCGTCCGCCTCCGTGAGTTATTCTTCAGGGGGATGGCTGCAGAGAGTCCGTCACGCTCCGGTATAGCGTTAGTGGATACGTGGTTTACGGGGGAACGCGGGATGGAGAAAGGGAAGGAGGGAGAGAGGATTGGACTGAGGGAGGGAGGATGGGAGAGAGGGAGGGAGGGAGGATGAGACTGAGGGAGGGAGGGAAGGAGAGAGGGAGAGAGGGAGGGAAGGAGATAGGGAGGATGGGAGAGAGGAAGAGAAGGAGGGAGGGAGGGAGAATGGGAGAGAGGGAGGGAAATGGGAGAAAGGGAGGGAGTGAGAGAGGGAAGGAGAGAGGATAGGAGAGAGGGAGGGAGGGAGGATGGGAGAGGAAAGGAAGATGGAAGGAAGAGAGGGAGGGAGGATGGGAGAGAGGGAAAGAGTATGGAAGGGAGAGAGGGAAGAAAGATGGAAGGGAGGGAGGATGAGAGAGAGAGAGTAAGAGAGGGAAGGAGAAATGAAAGAGGGAGGGAGGAAGATACAGGGAATAGGGAGATGAGGGAGAATAGAAGAGGGTAGGGTTATAGGGAGGAAGGAATGAAGAGAGGGAAAAAGAAAGAGGACGGAGGGAGAAGAAAGTGAGAAAGAGAGAAAGAACTAAGTTGCCTTTTGGAAACGATTCAGGAATAGAGAAGAGATTCAGTAAAAAATCTAGACATCAAATTTCCAGTCAACGTGATTTATTTATGACCGGCCGATTAACATGTTAGAATTATCTAAGGATTTAGTAACAGGAAGAAGAGTAATAACATCATCGTATCGTAAAAATTAACTGTCGCTGTAATTTAGTTTTAAATGTTAGTAACGATAGGGCCATCATGCACAGTCGCGTAAGGAACACTTTGTCCTTAATTCTGTCCTTTATGCTTTTCACATCTGACAACTCGAAATACCATTTTTATTATCATTAAATTTCTCCCCATTTAACTTTCCGTCAACAT